CGGTTGGCTATTTTTCAGTTGGAATGGGCATCTTCTCTTGGTTTGCAAACAATCTGCCTGTATAAAAATGTTTATACAGCTTCCCTTCAAATAAAGGTAAATACTCTGTGATGTGGGAAAACCTCTAAACTAAGAGCCAGAAAATCTGGGTTAGTATTATTTTGGGGGGAGGGGGCATAACCAGGGTGGTCATAACCTGAGGTGGCGCTAGTTAATCTTTGTCTGTTTCTGAGTTACCCCTTCAGCTCTCCCTTTTCTCCTCTGTGTAACAAGAGGTTGAAGTTGCAGCCCTTTAAGGGTCCTTTAGCTTGACTGTCCTCTGTAGTTGGCACTCTCCCTCCTTGTTAGTCGTGTCAGTGGGATTTTGAACACTGAAGGCTTAATTTCCATGTAGCTGTGAAATGTTTATGCCCTGCTTTTTGTCGGAAAGGTTTTGTAGTCTATGCTTAAAAAGATCCCTATAGCGTGGGCTATTTAAAAAGAAACTTAATGAAGGGCATAAGCCACCTAGATTTTAACCTGTTCTAATTGGTGACTTCTAGGCATTAGTAACACAGGGTCGGCTCAATTGGTTTGCAATCACAAGGAATGACAAGAATAGTGGGAAGCCCTTCTAGGAAACGTAGATAAACGCTTTAATCCCCAGCCCTGGAATTAGAGTAGGCGTTTTATAACACTTGCTGCAGATCTGTTGGGGCTATTTATTAGCCTCCTTGGTTTCTCTGTAGAGTGGACTTTCCACACTGAACAAGACTTAAGGGAAATTAGAAAGGGTGTGTTCAGTAGTCACTTAATTATTTTACTGCGGGATAGAGAGTTACTTGTGATTACAGGTTCAGCTTTGAGAATTTTACTGTTGGATACGTGTAGTTAAAAATTACGCAGAGCAAAAGGCCCCTCTCAAACCAAAACACTCTTAGTGGGGAGAATCTTTTCCTAGTCTCCCCATCAAGTAGTCCAGTGTGGCGTTTATGGCATCTATGTTGGGCATTGATTTCCTTTGAGGACTAAAGTAAACCTGACCCATGCCATAGTATTTTCCATTGCCTCATAAGCATGTGAACGTTGGACATTGAATAAGGAAGACAGAAGAAGAATTCATGCATTTCAATTGTGGTACTGGGAAAGAATATTGGAAGTACTATAGACTGCTAAAAGGATAAACCAATCTGTCCTAGACGAAGTATGGCCAGAGTGCTCCTTAGAGGCAAGGATGGTGAGACTTGATCTTATGTACTTTGGATTTGTCAGGAGAACCAGGCCCTGGAGAATGACATCATGTTTGGTGAAGTAGCGGGGCAGTGAAACACAGGAAGACCTGTTAGGAGATGGACTGACACAGCGGCTGCAGAACTGGGCTCAGGCACAGGAATAATTGCAAGGATGGCACAGGGCCTGGCCATGTTTTATCCTGTTTTGACAGTGTTGCTATGGGTTGGAATGGACTGCATGGCATCTAACAACAACACCGGAGAAGGCGTAGGGCATCGCTTGCCGTGCCACCCAGTAAGCATTGGCCAACTAACCTTATGGTCCATGGTTCAGGTCCAGCAGTGACTCCATAAAAGCAAGATGAAACGGTCTGCACCTGTCAAGATTTACACCCTTGGGAACCCTGTAGAGGGACAGTATGGATTGGAATCGACTCATGGCGGTGGGATTGGGTTTGGGTTTGGTTCTACGGTATGTGATGGAAGATCTTGGCTTCAGCTCCGCTTGGCTCACAAGTGGTTGAATCTACACTATGCAAATGTCCACTTTCTAGCTTTGGCTGTGAGGACTGTGGAAGGCTGTGCAGATGGACTTCTGAAGACCCTGGACATACATGCCCAAGCCACACCACTTGAACCTCTGTAACTTCTCTTCAGTGGTGCTCTTAGCAGTAGTCACAATTTTCTAGTCAGGCTTTTAGGAAAAAATTACTCTTGTTCTTTATTTCCCTTTCACACACTAAGAACTTCATCCATTGGGGAAAACGTTGACTATTTTAGATGAATTCATGTACTAGAAAAGGAGGCCATGGATTCTTTGCTCTGATTCTATGCAGAAGACAAACTCCTACTTGTGTAGAGTGAGGTCGTTTCCTGTCAGCACAGCTTGTGCAGACGCGATGCTGTTTGGGCCTCAGCCTCACCAGAGATGGAGGACATCGCTGCTGGCCGATCGTGGCATCAGAGTAGAATGCACCAGGCGACATTTAAGACACACTGCTACCCGTCACTTGGGGAAAAGGACTTCAAAAACCCAACGACTTTCTATTGGAGTAAGAGCTTGTTCTTAGGAGAGTGATACACAGAGCAATCCCAGTGAAACAGTCCTAGGCGTTGGTTAGAACGGAACTAAAAAAGAGCTCACAGAAACTTCATTAATTTATTTTGTAGTAAGACTAAGATATTAAAACTTCGTAGAAAATTTTCATCAGGTATACTTTGAAATGGCTAATGGAAATGCATTATAAAGGCTTTAGGATAAGCCTCCCTTCTTACAAAAGATTAAGATATAATTTTATAATTTAAAGTCTCTTCTGTTGAATTAATTAGCATGCACAGAAACTGATATTGGAAAAGGTATTGCTGTCCTTTACCGGATCCTATTATAAATTTTCTAATATATTACAGAGAAACTTGGGAAAGTAGAAAAGTAAATCAACAATCTCACTACTTTAATTTTTCTGTATTCTCCTCAAGGTTTTTTTTTCTCACATCATTCATGTTTCTGGCACACTTGCTTTGAGAGTATACATTAAATTTTTGAATCTCCTTTATTCATGTAATTAAAAATGCAAATTATGAACTTGACTGTGTTACATAAAAATATGATTTATGTGAATTCACGATTAACTGGGATTGAAAAAGTGAACAAAAGACTCTCCTGCCTCTCCAAACAGATGATTAATCCTGGAATATTTATAACTCTCTCCTTACAAGTGCCAGTGTCTTTATCCTTCACGCAAAGTGGGAAGCTGGCAATTTGGCAAATACTAGGTTGATGTGCAATTTTTGTGTCTAAGAAAGAGCTTTATATACAAGAGCAGTTGAAGATTGAGAAAACATCCCAGCCCAGTCTAGATCAAGTCCATAAGTCTGATATTAGCCCATATGCCCAATACCAATCTATAAAGTCCTCTTCAGACTCACGAAGCATGCAATGACACCGAATATAGGAAGATCACAGGCCAGTGGGTGGGAAGTCTTGTGGATCCAGTGGTGGTGGAAGCATCTCAGCGCTGGCAGGGTTCTCCTCATGACTTCTCCGGCTCCAGAGGCTCCATCAGCCTCTCTCCATATGTCTTCTCCACAAGGATGTCTCACAGAGAGTGAACCAAGAGAAAGAGTGTCTCCCACCTCCAAGGAGGAATACCAGAGTCCTCAGAATCCTCAGGAGAAGGGCAGGCCCACGCAGAGGACTCATGGGCTATATCCTGATGGACAGGCTAGACTCCATCCCTACACTGTTAATCCTCAAATTGACACCAGATTATGTAACCACCACAACAGCAAAGCAAAACATCCTCACAATGGAACTAATAAACAGTGCCGTGAAACATGGAGAAGAGACTGACGTTCTCCAGGATTTTATTTTACTTGGGTTCACAGTTCATGAAAACAACAGTCAGGAAATCAAATGACATATTGGACCAGACAAATCTGTGGCAAAAATGCCCCTTTAAACAGTGTTCGGGTTGAAGACTACAGTAGACCTGGCCCACATCCCGTACTGCCAGTGGTATTTTCATACTTCAGACGCATACAGAAGCTGAACAATGGATATGAAAGGCCAAAGAGGATGGATGCATACAATGGGGGTGTTGGCAGAGAAGAGTCCATGTACAACACCATCTTGGAAGCAGTACACACAGCCAGCATGCCCTTTGGAGACCGGGATAGTCTGATTTGGTCTCACAGACTTGGAACATGTCATCAGAAAGGACCGGCCTCTGCAAAGGGACATCATGCTCGGCAAAGTGAAGGGTCCGCCCAAAAGAGGAAGTCTCGCAACAGGATGAATGGACACGGAGTTGCAACGCTGAGCGTCAAGAAAGTAATGACGCTGAGCGTCAAGAAAGTAATGACGGTGTGTGTGGTGCAGGGCTGGGTGCTGTTTGGTTCTGTGGCACACGGGGCTGCTCTGAGCCAGGGCTGGCATAAAGGCATCGATCAACAATCATGCTTGAGCACTGTGCTTAGCCCTTACCCAATTTTATCTTTGAATAATGAATATTATAAGCATCATATAATAAATGTTATATACAAAAAGGAATGTTATCCATATTTTAAGTCCTCTGAAACCGTGAGAAATATTTCATCCAATGCAGCAATGCACCACCTTCTTTTCTTTGTCTAATTTCTGGATGTTCAGTGCTAGCAAGTGAGTCCTAAAACACAGAGTGGACCCCCATGAGCAACAGAATGAAATATCGCCCAGTCTTGCACCATCCTCACATGGTTATATTGCATCCATCGCTGCGGCCACTGCATCAATCCATCACGTTGAAGGTCTTCCTCTTTTTCACTGCCCTTCTCCTTTCTCCAACATGACGTCCTTCCTCAGGGACTGGTCCCTTCTTTTTTTTTAAATCATTTTATTGGGGACTCATACAACTCTTACAACAATCCATACATACATCAATTGTATAAAGCACAGTTGTACAGTCTTTACCACCATTCTCAAAACACTTGCTCTCCACAAAAGCCCCTGACATCAGCTCCAAATTTTCCCCCTTCCCTCCCCTCTTCCCCCTCCCTCATCAACCCTTGATAGTTTATAAATTATTATTTTGTCAGATCTTACACTGTCCGATGTCTCCCTTCACCCACTTTTCTGTTGTCCGTCCCCCAGGGAGGAGGTCACATGTGGATCCCTGTAATCGGTTCCCCCCTCTCTACCCCACCCTCCATTGGCGTGCAGTTTGAAGATGGCATTTATAAAGTGAGAGTAATAGATTAATGCTTGGTCTTACAACTGCGCTTTGCTTTTGTCTTGTCTTTCTTTTGTCTTAGAGATGATTGTTGACCATCAGATTGAGACGGGCCTCTTGAAACCTGACCTCAAGGATAAAGTGACTTATACTTTGCTCCGGAAGCACCGACATCAAACCAAGAAATCCAACCTTCGATCCCTGGCCGACATTGGGAAGACAGTGTCCAGTGCAAGTAGGATGTTCACCAACCCTGATAATGGTAATGCTGGGCCTGCTGGCAGCTGGTTTCTCTTACATTCATCTCCCACATCTCTGTTCCTCTGTCCTTTCCCGTGCTCCATGTGCCCTTCATTTTCAAGGTCATCTGCCATAGCCATTTCACAGTTACACTGTTTCTCTCATTGGGCAGGTTTGCGGACCTGCGGGGAAGATTTCAGCTATGATTGTTGTAGGCTGCAAATGCTAGGGGTGCCCTGCCTTTGAAAATAACTGTATCATGAAACAATGGAATATTTCATACAAATAAGCAAGTGTATAGATTATTGAGTACTTTAGGGGATATGCTTTAGATAGGACGGTTTGTCAGAGTTAGGAGAGTATAAGAAGTGTAGGAAAATAAGAGAATGCCCCAAAATATCAACTCATGAAGTATTTGCTTGGTACATGAGATGATGTCTAGCTTACAGTTGGTCACTTCATCAATGTAATACTCATCATGATTACCTAAAAATAATCTGATCTCTGGGCTCTTGAGCATGGTAGTAAAAGTAATTATCCAAGGTGTAGGGTATTATATAAGGATGGAAAAGCAGTGTGTCCTGTATACACGGTAGGGCCTTGACCAGCATTTCCTGTACCGTGTTGATAATTTGTATTATTCTTGGTTTAACATTTACTTCATGTTTGGGAGAAATCTGAGAAAGGAAAAATAAAATGTCCATGAAATATGGAAAATTAAAGGATGGTGGAAAGAGTTGCGAAGCACTGGGCTGGTAGAACCAGATCTTCTTCTATTCCTCCCACCCCCACCCCCATCAGTGTTAGCCTTAAGGGAACTCATCATTGCCCTCAGCTGCATTGTCAGAAGAGCCTGAAACATATCGTCATGGAAAAGATGGATTGAGTGAATTGTAATCAACTGGAATCCAACGTACTCAACTACTTTACTTGCAAATATTAAGTTTTCTGATATATAAAAATTGATGGTTGTCTGGGTAAGAGCTCACAATTAGGAAGCTTTCTCTGGTATAGTTATTGACCATTACATTACTTTTGTTTCTTAATTTTATTTTGTTATTCAATAGAACAAATTGAAAAGCTTACTTTTATTGAGTGACATATATTGATTGGATTGCCTTAAGTCTTTGTCTTTCTTTACAAACAAACATAAATAAAATTTAAACAACCTTTTCATATGAAAACATTCATTAAAGAAATCCGCATTCTAAGTCCATAGTATCTACTGTTATCTGGAATATTATTGCAAAGTCCATGAGAAATGTTTTGGCTTTTGTGTGTATTTTCTTTTTTGAATGTATATTTTTGAATCTGAGGGTCACTTAATGGTTGGAAATGACACCAGATAAACAATTTGTTATAAATGATGTCACAAATACTTCATTTTAGAAAACCACTCGTGTTTTTAAAGCAGTAGCAATTAATCGGTGCCCTTTTATATCTTATATGATAGTCCCCTTTCTCATATAAAATCTAATCTAATTGTAGGCTTTCAATGTTTTGGTTTTTAACCATGTACTGTGTGGTAGATTTAAGGACTGAGAAAGCATTCTGATTTCAGATACTGCTGTATCGCAGAGAGAAGGATGGCATGGCTGGGTCAGAATGCCTGCCATCAGCTTGGTGGGAACTGCTTTTTCATGGAAATGCAGGCTGAGTAGAAACTGGGAACAGATGGGTCTCGGAGCCCAGGACTTTGTGCTTTAGGAGAAAGTATTTGGATGTGAAATACAACTAATGGGTTGATATTGCTCAAGCCATTCAGCCTTTTATCCTACCTGCAGATCTTTGTGCTTCAGAGGCAACTTGAAAGTGCCTTCGTCATTCACCTTCTCCTTTGTGAAATGTTGTATCTGCTGGGCCCAAAGCCAGGAGGAAGGCCAGGCAGTTCTTTTCCGGCTTGTCAACTGATCAGCTTCCACCCTGAAGCAAGGAATACGATGAGGTCTTTTAAAAACATGTTAATATTGGCCTACTACCTAACTCCCTTTAAATATCCAGGGGCAAGATTTGGCTTTCAAAGATTCTATAGCAATCAATTTCATGTGCCCCCAAGGTACATGCTTATAAATGATCAGATGGCAAATCTTTGGTTTTCTTGCATGGTTTATTCCAAACTTGCAAGTTTAGACATTCACCTTTCTATGTTAGGGCTTAATTACTTAGTATCATTAATGATGGTGAAATGTTCTTAGAATTACTCTCTAAAGCCTTACATAATTATTGCTGCTACTATTTTAGTCGGGCAAGTTGTCATTTTATAACGGTGATAGTTGAAGTTAGATCTCGATATCCTCTCATATATAAGACTTAGATAAATTTATGTCACCTTAATTTTCTTCCCTAAATTAAAGTCGGTGATATTTCTGGCATTCATTATAATCCCAAACAATGTAACTGATAGCCAAAATTTATGGAGATTATACCTCAAATTGGAAATGTTTTCATTTCTCTGCAGTGTTCTCTTACCTATTATTAAAGAGTCAATTATCATCAATAATTTTTCCAGGATGTTGTGAAGTACAGCCATTATTAAAAATCAAATTACATAAAATTACAACTAATTCATTATATATAAAAAGGTATCAAGTGCTCTAAGAACATAGCTCCCTTTTTTTCTTGTATTCTTTGAAATGTAATAATTTACACGGATGTGTCCCTTAGTGTCAGTTGATGCAGTACCTTAACTGCATGTGCCAGCACCTTGTGTGGAGGCCAGAGCTTAAAACACAAGGCCTGGAATTCCCTTAGTGTGGGACAACGGAGGCCCAGGTCCAAACTCCCAACTCTGGCCCATCCCCTTGGCTCTACAACCTGGTAGGCCTAGGCTCTGCCTTTTGCCTGCTTGATCCCTTAGGGCATCAGTGGAAAATCATGCCCCCTGGGTGGTCTGGGTATGACCATCCTTTCCTAGGAAGATTCTCACTTTTGAGCTGCACTTCCCTGCAATCTTACCAGAGAGGGCCGCGATAGTGGAGGGTGCGGTGGGGTGGAGATGTGGAGGAATGTGACTTCTCAGAATGCTCATTGAGGCTCCCACAGCTGGAGCTGCTGGTGGGACGTGATGGAGTGCTCACCTGAGGCCTTCCACATCAAAAATTGTCCGGGCCATGCACTACACAGTAGCCAGTAGGCTAGAGGGAGCTTCACACCCTCTGGACATAGGTGTTCACATATCTCATTTCACAGAACATTTAGTAAATGCAAAGTGACTATTCTTAAAATGACCCTTTGTATCTCCCATGACACATAACTATTCTTAAAATGACCCTTTGTATCTCCCATGACACATAACTATTCTTAAAATGACCCTTTGTATCTCCCATGGAAGCACTGGGAAGAACCATGAAAAATTTGATGCGTTTGGCCCGCCAAGGAGATTGGCTCGCTTGCTGATAATGTCAGGATGGGACCAGGTGAATAAGGTATAAGGGACCCTAATGGGTCAGTTTTTCCATTTGATTCAGCTGAAAGCAAGGCCCAGGGAGAAAGAGGACTGTTAACATGGAAGACAGTGAGAGATGGCGGCACAGTAGCACGAGTGGTGTAAGGTAGGCACCACAAGCACAGCACATGGCGGCCGTAGCAGTTGCTGACCCAAGGAGCCAAGCACTTGCTCAAGTAGGCTGCTGGTAGAGCAGGGCCCGGTAGCACAGAGTGAGAAAACTCTCTCCAGCTTGAGAAACTGTCCCGAGTTGTGATTACTTCCAAGTTGATCTTGATCCTCAGTTGTACCATGTTACTTCCCTCGTAAACCCATGAAGTGTAAGTGCAGTCAGGGAATTCAGTGAGACAGTTGTAGCAAATGACCAGACCCAGAGAGAGAGTGAGAAAGCGCAAGCCAAGGAGCTGAAGGGAGGGGAGTACGTGATGTTCGCAATGATGGAGTGGTACAATGGTTTGGAAAAGCTAGGAATTGGGAACATCTTTAATCTTGGCTTTACAGGAACCAGCTTTGTGTTGATCCCGATTAAATGCATGACTCATTTGTTTATGCTCTTCGGGTATTTTCATATCTTGTGTCTGTACGGTGGAAGTGCTATATCATGGTGCACCGTGGTGCATCTCTTCCCAACTCCACGTTTAGTGCCTTTATGTCCATAGCTTGAAATCGGCCCCATAGTAGAATTTATACCACAGAAATCTGCCAACACGATGGACCAGAAGTTGATTTATTCTTTTGTCAATTGTGTCTGAGACTTTAACAAGTGATGGAGAAAATGCTAATGATGTAGATTTAATTGACAAGTATGTCATGTCCATAACTGTAACTGTTAAGATGTGAATAGCTCATACAATTGAGGGCATATGCTTCTAGTACTTGAAACCTACTATTCAGTGTAGCAAAGGAATCATTCCCACCACTGAAGAAGGAGTGAAGTCTGACACATGTCTTCCTGTGTCACTGCTTGCTCATAAACGTATGTGAACATATCGATCAACACCGAGGTTGGAAGTACGCTGTCTCACCATTTGGCTACTGATGCGTGAACTTGTCAGAAATCATCACAAGTCTTCTATGAGAATCAGTTGGCTGTTTGGAGTTTACAATAAAAAGGGACAATTCTCTGCTAAAAGAAAATGGTATTTTATTATTATTTCATAGTCCCTTTTATTCATGTAATTTATAATATATATCTATATTCACATGTATATTTTCTGTAAAAACAGTTGTCGACCGTTTTCCAGCATACCGCTTTCTCTGTCCATACCTAAAGAAACTCTCAACTTTTAGGATGCTGGTGTGATTGGGGTTCAAGATAATTTGGTATTTATGAAAAGAATTGAGAAATAGTTTCATTTGTAGTAAGTCAGGAGAGAATCAGGCTAACTTCCAAGATGTTAATCGTTGTGAAGCTGCCACTGCTGAGATAGCTATGAATTCTGGTGGGTGTGTCTTTCAGGCACCAAAGTGTAGGCAGATGTTATAATTTCTCAATATATTAATTGAGGCATTTGCATAGAGTTAGTGTTGCATGAACAAACTAATAAGGTTTTCATATCCTCTGGGGTTGGGTTTGC